CTCTCACAGCGGCCAATGGCGTGCGCGCGCGCCCTCCTGCAGAACCTAGGCCCGCCCCCCAGCGCGCCGCCAAGAACGTGCGCCGTCAGGACCGGGCCCCGCCCACCCCTCCGGCTTGCAGCCAATGGCGTACGCGCGTCGCTCCTCGGCTCGCCCCCGGCAGAGGGCGAGGGGCAGGACCACGTGGAATACCCCCGGCCCCCGCCGAGCTTAGCGGGCGCCCCGCTCCCGGCGGCGATGAAAGGGCAGTGACGCAGAGACACCGGGAAGACAGTGCGGAGGTTTAATAATAAAAGGCCTGGTGGGCGCCAAGGCTCAAAGCCGCCCCTTGCCGCATTCCAGCACAGGAAAGCTCCTATAAAGTCAACATTTTCAGTAAGTAGTAGAAATAGGGTCAAAGCCCGGAGACGGGCCTGGAGAATGACGTAAGGCAGCAAGTGCTTCCACGTGGCCGGCCGGTGTCCCCGGAAGGCGCGGCCGCCGCCACTTTAGGAGGCTGCAGGGCGGGTGTCAACACTCAGGCCCGGGGGGCGGGGGGCAAGCGCAGCAGTGCAAGGGGGCGTCCCACCAAGACAAATGGCTAAGCATGTCCCGGTGAAACGTCTCCCCCAAAGAATTCTCACGAGGCCCTGCGGGGCAGTCCTGGCCTCTGGGAGCCACTAGCCCGAATCAGGGTTCCAGCCACCTGCAAAGTGCACATCGGTCTCAGTCAGGCGCCCGGTTATGTCACTTTTTTCCTTTTCGTGCGCTTGGAGCAGCCCCTTCCAAACCAGCCGCCTAGGATTGGGGCCGGGCTAAGTGGTGCGCCCTGGTCTCCCGGCAAGGGCTCCTCTGGACTTCTGCACAGTGCCTTCCGACTGTGGCTGCCTTCTTCTCCAGCCCGCAGGGGAGTCGCCAGGGAGAATATGGGGTCCTGCCACCTACCAAAAAGGGAGAACTGGGTCAGGTGCGCCTGGGAGCCTCTCAGTCACAACCTGCCCCAGGACGGGAAAGCTGACTGAGGTGGCCTTGCTCCCTCCCTGTGTCTTAGCCATGGCAGGCTTTGCTTGGTGGTAGCTCCACTGTTCCTGAGCTGAAGTGGGGTAAGCTCCCAGACTAGCTCGGCCTCAGCAAAATGTGTCCTCGTCGGCGATCTAACAGCCAGGCACCCACGGGTGGGGCGGCAGTAATCCCAGCAGGGATAAGTCACTAACAACTCTGGGCCCCACCTCTCACTTGTAAGGCCAGGGGCAGGTGGACCAGACCCTCTCCCCCTTCCCAGACTGAGAGGCTTTATAGGTGGAAGGAAAGCCAGCTGACTAGGGAGGTGTGGCCTACAGGCTCCCCGGTGAGGTCATGTGTCTGACTGAGATGTAGAACCACATATTATAAACTTAAGATACAGATAGGCACTGATAAGGAAAATGAGCTAAGTTAATGTAAAAAAAAAAAAAAAAGTACAGTACACAATAGGCCCACATTACAGAACACCACAAACATAACATACAAGAATTGCCAGGCCCAGAAGGTGAAGGGATCCTTAATTCTTGAACCCTTTGATTAAAAGAAGTTATTGATTTCCCCTATAAGACCCTGAAAATTCACAGAGAAAGAAAGTGTAAACTTTTCACTCAATACATACACCATGTCTCAATCATCACAAATTCTGTATTAAGGAACAGTTTCTTTAAGCTTCCCCAAGTTTGCCAGCTCCCCAAACAGAGTGCACCATGAGCCTGTTCGACAAGGATTGCCAAGAGCACGTCCCTTCAGGGACCTCCCCCTCCAGGCTGTCTGAGGTAAACTGGTTCTATCCAGGCACACACCGGCCGACTCCCTCTCCCCACAGGGAGTCACATCAGCCAGGAGGCCTTGGCTGGTGCCTGCAATGGCCACCACACTGCAGTCACACCTCAGATCTTTCTCTACGCTTAGCTCATGAGAGAAGACAGACACAGCCCATTCACACAAGGGCGGGAAGGGGGAATGCGCCTGCGCCCCCTCACCTGCTGTAGGGGGGTATCTCCAGGCCCAGCTCGTCCATGAGGAGCTGCATGACATCATCACACTTCCCGTGGAGCTTCAGGGCAGCCCAGTCATCCTTTGGGGTCCACTGGGGACAGGGGAAGGCAAGTGAGCTGAGCACCTCACTCCTTCCTAATGCCCTGCAGCCTGGGTCCTACTCAGCCAGTCCCCTGAGGTGTGTGAGTGCAGGACAAGAACGTCCCAGGGACTCTAACAGTGTGGTTCTGAGCGCCAAGTTACCTGCAAGTTCACAATGTAGAGCTTGGGCCGCCGGTTGGGGGGCTTGGTCATGCACCAGAGACGTGGATACTTCTTTAGAACCTATAGGGATGGACAGACATACCACACACACACACACACACACATACACACACACCAGGGAAGGAGGCTATAGGAAGCTGGGGTCCAGTGTTGAGCTGGCCAGCTGCCAGCAGGTTCACTCCCTACCCATCCACGGTGCCATCTATGTACCTTTAAGCTGGAGCCTAAACACAGGATCGTGTCTGCTTTGCTGGCAGCCTGGGTGGCTGCCTCCCAGTTCAGAGGCTGCCCCAGGGTCCCCCTCTCCCCAAAGTGCACAATGGTGTCCCGGAGCGGCGCTCCGCACTTGTGGCAGGCCCGGCCTGTCTGGTGCCGGTGCAGGGCGGTGCGTTCCGTCACATCGAACACCCGCACGTACTCCCTGTTGGGGATGCAGGCCGTGCAGACCTGAGGAGGGGAGGGCACTGTGAGCAGGGGTTGCTGGTACACCCGGCCCCCAAGGCCCAGAGGGACCGCTCACTTCAATGTACATGTTCCCGTGGAGCTCCGAGATGGCCGCACGTGGCAGACCACTCCGCAGGTGGAGCCCATCGCAGTTCTGAGATACCACATGCTGCACCTGGGGGGGAAATGGCGACACTCAGGGGGAGGGCTGTGGGGCAACAGCACTCAGCGGTGAAACCCCACACCAGGGGCAACTCCAACCTGGCACGAAGCCTCAAAGGCAAAACCTGGGCAGCAAGCTAGTCCCAGCAGGACTCAGGAAGGCCCACCCCCAAATCTGAAGCATCTGGGGCAGCCTGGAGGGCAAACATTTGCACCACCCCCTCAGCTGGGCAGGGGCTCAGGGCCCAGACCCTCTCTTGGGTCATTATGTCTCAGGTCCTGGAAGGCCCCCTTGGTGGAAGGTACTCAGCAGAGGGTCTCCAGGTTTCCTGAAACCTGAGTCCTTTCCGTGCTGATTCAGAAAAGTTACCCTCTTCTCTTGGGGAGGAGGCATGGGAGGCTTAGAGGAAGGCTTAAACCAGGAGTCGTCAAGGAGTCCACTGGCTGACACAGGCAGGAGGCAGCTGCCATTCCAGGCCCCATGCTGCGGGCACAGCAAGTACACCAGCTAGCCGCACAGGGCTCTTACCAGCTTCTGCTCATGTAAGCGGGCGATGCTCATGTGGGTGAGGGTTGGCTCAGCTTCACTCAGATCGGCAGCACTGCCAGGTGAAAGGGAAACAGAGGTCAGGCCCATGCAGTCCTGCTTCCACTCGGAGAAAGTCTGAGTTGGACTGCTTACCTAACACGCCTCCCCTTCTGAAGCAGCGTCCATACACCATTAGGACCCCGGTAGTCTGGGATGGAGGCTGCCTGCATGTTCAGAAGGAAGACAAGCCCAATGAACAGGCACCACCATAGGCACTGGCAGAGTCCCCAAAACAGGAAGCAAATGTTTCTCCCAACACGTTCCAGGCTAACCTTGGACTGGGTCCATGCATCCCTCAGCCTCAGCATTTCCCAGTCTACCCTGCCGGAACCCAGATGGAGTGCACCCCATGTGGCCCCTTCCCTCTGCCTATACCCAGCTCCCACTTGGTCTAGCTCCTCCTCCCAGACTCCAATGAGCCCTGCTTCCTCTGGGGCCTCCTCCAGCCTGGCTCTGCAGCCACACCTGTCGTCCACATGGAGGGGGCAACTGGTCAGGCTCACCTGTGTCCCCAGTGTCTAGCCAGTGCAGAAGAAAGGTGCACCCCTAGGTGGGATCCCTCCTCTGTCCACATTCTCCCATCCTGATGAGGTAAGTGGTCCCTGCCCTACCTCCACAAAGAAAGGCCAACCTCTCCAGGTAAGATAAACACTTGAATTTCCCAAGTTCCCACAAAGCCAGGATCCCGGTGCCTTGTGCTCCTCGGGCTGAACAATCTCCCTTCCAGAGAGCCGTCTACTCCCTGCTGCTGAAGTTCAGAAAAATGCCCACCCCGATCAGTGGTTCTGACTCACGTGGAAAAGTGGAACCTCAAACAGTAACACGCTCAGAGCAAATTAACAAGTCACCCACAGCTCCTTAAGAAGTGCTACGACTGCTCTGAAATAATCTGATGGCAGGAGTTCACGTGACTGTGGAGGGAGGAGACCAGACAGCCTGGGCTCCAGCTGTCCGTAAGTTAGAGCAGCCAATGTATCTGCCGGGTTCTTTCCACTGGGCCTCTGCACTCATCCCTCTTGGGAGTGTCTTACTCTCATCTTCCCCTGTAAAGTCTTTCCCATCTTTCAAGGGCAGGACTCAGTGCTGCCTCCTACAAAAACCCGGGTGGGCTGGATTCCCAGCTCCAAGCCCACACAGGGTGTGTCTGGACTTCTATTCTAGGGACTTAACACAGCCAAATTCATGATGTAGTCATTTGCTTATATGCCTTATTATCGTCACCTCCGAGCTTCTCCGGGATGGGAATCCTCAGTGTCCACTCTGCTGGGCCTATGCGGAGGTCACACCCAACACACACCCATCGGTGGACAAACAACACGCCGCCCACACTGTCAAAGCTATTGGCACACGTTCCACAGCCGGGGGAGCTTCTCAATAAAGACTCTCAAACCCCAACGCGTCTGGCGACTTCATTCACGCTGCCTTGCGCTCTGCTTACCTTCCTCCAATCTTCAGAAAAACGATGAATGGGGAATCAGGGCAGTTTGGGGCTTAGCTCTGCCCACACAGCCCAGAGGCAGCACCTTACCCTCCTTAACTTTAAGTGAGAAGGTGCCTGCAGAGTTCAAGGACTTAAAGACGTTCATCTACTTAGTGAGGTTTCGAACGGAGTCCTTTCGAGCTACTCTAAGACGGTTGAGAACCTCAGAGCCGCCTTTAAAGTGAGACTGGAGCGGGTGAGTTTTACGCAAGAGCGCGGCGCCGGGTCCGTGGCTCAGGTCCCCAGAAGGGGGCGCCCCAGCGCCCGGACCGGCCTCCCTACCGTGCTGATCCCCGCGCCCGTGTAGACGACCAGGTGCTTGGCGCTCCGCACGGCGCCGGCCAGCTCCCGCACCTTCCGCCGCAGCTCCTCGGGG